TCTTCGAAACAATTTGGTCGTCGCTTCGTAAGAAAACATACAAAACTCTCCTAAGGAAAAATTTACTTCGAATTTATTTAAATATTTAGAAAAAATTTAATTGTGAAATTACCTGAACTAGGATACAAAAAAGTCAATAAAATTTGGGAATTGCATTCTCAAACTTCCTGATAAATGCGACAGCTAAATAATTGTTAAGTTCCATTTAATTATTTTTATTTCAGCGCAAACTCTCATATTATGGTCAAAGCAATAAATTCTTGATTCCCTGTATACTTTTATTTTAATATGTTGATCAGTTAAAGCGTTTTCCACTAAGAATTTTAATAAATTTGATATTTAAATCTAATATGACGTAAAAATAAATGGTATTCAGTTTGTCCAAGGGATGCAGCAAACATTAAGACATTTATTATTTTCCAAGTGCTTTGAAACCGTAGAAAAGCGCAAATTCTCTAACTGTACCACTCATGAAACACAAATGAAAATATGAAAACGCTTTCCCATGTGATGTGCTCATGTGATAAATGCTGACTGTTCAATACCGAAAGTGAACATACTGGAAACTATTGTCGAAGTTGAAATAGGCAAGTGATTATGCAGTTTTACTCCTTGCTAATACCTACATGATTATTTTGAAATGGGATTAACTTGACAGATTGCATTATTTGGGCTCCCGATCAGCCTAAAACCGTAAGATATTTGAAGATGTTGGTACCCTTCTACACTACAAAAATTTAAGAAGTTTCTTCGCTCTTGCGCTTTTTGTTTAATTATCATTTTCAGAGAAAGCTGCAATCAACATTACAAGTCACCTAAAATGTACAGTAACTTCAAAAGAAAGGTCGACCTTTACGATTTTCTTCTAGTTGAAAACTTGTTTTTCTGTGTTAATTTTGCAATATTTTGACAAACAAACTCTGTGTAATCCATTAAATGCGAGGAAACAAAATTGAGCCAAAAAAACAACTTGGCTAACATAAAGTTAACTTATGATTTGGTGGTTTGACGGAACTGTTAATAATTATTGTTATTATTTATGCCTTCTTATTCGATTAAACTGGATATCAACTGGAAATTCGATTCGTAGTACTGCTAAAAATGAATATGGTTGTTGCGCATAATTAAATCGTTTTAGCAGTTAGCTTCTAAAAGTTAGTGTGCCCTCACTCGAAAATTTCGTACTCCAAATATCTTGAAAATTATTTTCGTAATGTTATTTTACAGGCAGAGATCACTTGACAGATTTGAAATATTTGCCTAATTCTCTTAACGAATCTCTTCACGGATCAACGAATTTTAGCTTATTGTTTTACCCTAGTAGCTCAAAAGATTTACTCCAACGGGCAATGTTTTATCACAACTACTTAATCTTACAGTGGTTTTAAATTCTTAATGGAGTGTTCTAATCGTTAGGGAATTCGCTAAGATTTAGGGCCTTCTGTTAATTAGTCAAATAACGTGAAGAATTAATTTTTGATACTACTTGCCTTCTTAGCGTGCATTTTTTGCACTGGCTCTACCTATTGTTGAATACTGTGCGTGACAATTCAGAAGGCTGTAATTACTTATAAGGTAAAAATCTTCAAAATAACATTTATTTTGCCAATTGCGTTTTCGAGGATAGCTCGTTAGAAAATTGACTTTCTGCTGTGTGCAAGTAACTGCTTTAGTGTTAGAAGCTGAATTCAACAGGAAATAACTACTTTCTACTACTACTACGGTTTCTTTAGATTTATTTTATTAATTACGATTAGTTTTTAGTATCTACTTATTATTAGGCCCTTATTATCAACTACGTTCGTTGATTACTAAAATAAGCCCATTACAATGTGCTATGCGTCAAAAAGTCTATTTAGCAGTAGGCTTAGGAGCAGCTCATTAATTTTATAGCCGCCGTGTACACAGCTGGTTAAAAAATATTAATATTGCTCAAGAGAGGACCAAAAGTCTCTTTATTTTTGAGAAAATCGGTCAAATATGCAATTACAACTTGCTATTTAAAAACAAAACATTTTTGTCTATCATTGCAATGGAAATGCAAATGAAGTTACGTGGATAGTTTTTTTTGTGAAAATTTGTTTATTAGTTCTTTGCTTTTGCTTATATGTAATATATAATATATATAATTATAATATATAATAACGGTATAACCGGGTTATTTGAGGGGAATTTGTAAAAAGACTTATTTTTGATTAAGAAGGTTACATATTTGAGCTCCGTTTCTGCTTCTGACCAACTTTTTTTAATTACAATGATTAACCTTATCAAAAATTAAGTACTTTACTCTTGAGCAAAATTAATAGTTTTTGCTTTCTTTTTTGTTTTTGCGTATTTTAGCTTTTTGGAGATGTAGAACTTTTCATAGAGAATGATTTTTCTTTCGTTAAATAAATAATAAAAAAGTTCCGCAAACCCCTATAGTTCCATAAGAATCCATAAAGTTATTACCACCTTAAGTAGGCACACTACAACTGTACAACAACACACTGTAATCACTAATGGCTAAGTGAACAACGTATAGTGCCAACATGTGAAACTACTTGCTAACTTATGCTGAAACGAACACAATAATTTAATGCATTTTCGTACAAAAAGGCATTACATACTTACCCCTTACAGGCAATCAGCAAACGTAAACTGTTAAGCTCGCACGGAAAATGAGTAACAAAAACACTCTGAAAGTTTAATTTCCAAGACGGCGCAAATCGGATACTAAACAAAACGGATGATTCAAAATGAAATTAGCGCTCTTAAACTTTCCGAGACAAAATAAAAGAAACTTTTCTCGGGGTCGGTACGTTCTATAAAGTTACTTATCTTTTAATCCCGCGATGCAATTCTTTAGGGAAAACAAACAGATGATACTGACTAGACCAAAAAGTATTTAAAAGCATTTTGAGATTAAATAGTTAGGATAGAACAATGTCTGTTTTTCGTTTTACGTTTAAGCGAAAGCTGAAGTGAAACCAGTTGAAATAAAAGGTTTTTTCGTCTCATTAAGATGCTTGCAACGATATATGCCAAGATAGTTTTTATATTTGATTAGACAAAGTTTTATGAAACACATCAAAAATGGAATCTATACATACGAGTGTGATGAAAAAGAAGATTATAGATGATTCCTGAAAATCCTACGTTATACATTAATAGAAGTCATAAATTCTGTCTGGTTTACAATTGTGAGTTATATTACCCATTTTATCACAAAATGGCATATTGGGCTATTATCAATTCACTTATGACGTTTTTGAAGTCTTGTAGGAAAAATGTGAAACACTTGATAGCATTTGAAAAGATGGCACCAGGAATATTTTTATGAAGGCATAGTTTATTGAATATTATAAAAGCAAAATTGCTATTTTCCTAAAAAATATTTCGGCTTTGAAATAGCTGCCATGGTTAGATTTTAAAAAGTTATATACTTTAAAGCTAGGTTTTCTACAGTTTAATTATGCTTAAAAAGCAATAAACATTGAAAGCTGATCCAAAGTTTTAGATCTAGTTTAGAAATTTCTAAAAAATTTCTAAAAGTCTTTAAAACCTCTTTTGGTGCCAATACGATTGTCTGTTAAGAGGCAACTTATCATTTATTTACTTTTTGGCGAACGTAAATTGTGATGGGACCGAAAATGTGTCTTGATTTTAAAATCTGCGCAAAATGCAGAAAATTACTGATATTTTGCTGTGTATTAAAACTGCTATTAAAACTAGAAACCAGTCAAAATAGTGACTAAAGTAGTGCTGAACTGCCAGTTAATTTTTTGTTAACATTCACACAACTCTCTAATTACTGAGCAGAGAGTAAATTTTGCAAAAAGAGGGTTTGCAAAAGTAACTGTAGTCGAATCACCATCGACCATAATGCGCTCATTTATTCTTAAACATGAATTAGTTGGACCAGAAATGAAGACTTCACAGTTCACGTATTGTATACGTAACTTATGCGTCACAATTGCAGCAACAGCTGAAAAATAAATCATTCCTCACTTTATCACTTTAGATAATATATTAAAAGTGACAAATAAAATTATTTGAAACAAAAAGGAGAACTATGGAAAATGATATCAGCAACAACAGAAACTGAGACAAGAAAGAAACAAGACAACAATTGATCTGATAAACAAAACGTTCATTACGGACTTGCAATAGACAAGCGATCCTCATAGCTGGTTAACAGAACCGCTTGCAGTTATTTTCCAAAATAATGACCAACAAGCCAATAAAACTTGTTGGTTCGAAGACATTGGTTCACTCCCCATCACTGGAAACATGATGAGCAAAGAATCGCATCTTTGAAGCTGAATAAATATCCTAACAGATTAGTAGATTTGTGTTCAGGAGTGATCACTCCCGCAGAAGTTGTTGAATTAACAGAGATGTTTTTAATATTTGCCTCAGCAACTAAATTATTGTCAGTGAAGGAAGAAGTGGGGACGATTTAAAAAGCAGGCCAAGTGAACGGTGACAGCATCTCTGGAAAAACGGAAGTTGGATCTTCAGCAGGACAATAAGTTGACTGCAAGTGGGTGATACCTAAAAACATCTTTAAAGCTGAGTAATCTGTGAGTGCAATGGATTTAGAATGAAATGTGACCAAGCCACACGAAGGGCTAAAATTAAAGACAATCGTTTCAACATGCGACTCAGCAGCTAAGTTGTCAACATGAACAGGGACGGAGAGGTCCCGACAGGTCAAAAGTATTCAGAAGCAGCGATAGAAAAGCTGAATGTGTATGTTGAAACTTGAGCAGATGGTTTACTAAATGGTTTTTCAAATATACTATAAAATGTATATAATCTTCTAAACGTGCTGTTGACTAGTATAAATTATATGATGCGAAAAGAGAAGCACAGTTGAATATCCGATATTGCTAATTTGAGTTTAAGTGTGTTATAACTGTGATATCAGAAAGTATGACTCAGTAATGGTTGTCCAATAATAGTGGCTATTTATGATGGAACTCGGAAAATCCAAACAGTATAAAAAAACTGCGTAATTAAGTTCAAATATATTTATACAAAAAGGCATTATATACAGTTGTCTTAAAATATCAAATTCAGTTGTGGTGGCAAATATTTGGGACCTGGCGTGGATATGGAAGTTTTAGTGATTTTTGTAAATGTGGTCTGCGGTGGAATGTAAGAAAACCCTGGCGTTGATGGTGTCGTAAGTGGACTAAATGGAGTCGTACGAATTGTTGAGGGGGTTGGAGTGGTGATTGGCCTTCTAAATGGAGTGGTTGATGGCGTTCTAAAAGGTGGTCGAGTTATCAGTGTTGTAGTTTTAATACTGTAAGGTGGAATATAAGAACTCCCCGGAGTTGACGGAGTTGTAATTGTACTAAAGCGAGTGGTGCTTTTTGTGGTTGAGGAAACGGGTCTTGGTGTGGTTACAGATGTTCGAGTTGTGGTTCGTAACTCTGGCGTAGGTGTTGGCCGTGTAGTTGTTGTGGTACTACGCGGCGGAAGATAAGAACTCCCCGGAGTTGACGGAGTTCTAACTGTAGTAAAACGAGTGGTGCTTCGTGTTGTTGAGGACACCGGTCTTGGCGTGGTTACAGGTGTTCTGGTTGTCGTTCGTAACTCTGGCGTAGGCGTTGGCCGTGTAGTTGTTGTGGTAGTACGTGGCGGAATATAAGAACTCCCTGGAGTCGACGTAGTTCTAACTGTAGTAAAACGAGTAGTGCTTTGTATTGTTGAGGAAACCGGTCTTGGCGTGGTTACAGGTGTTCTTGTTGTTGTTCGTAACTCTGGCGTAGGCGTTGGCCGTGCAGTTGTTGTGGTACTACGCGGCGGAATATAAGAACTTCCCGGTGTCGACGGAGTTMCAACTGTAGTAAAACGAGTAGTRCTTTGTATTGTTGAGGAAMCCGGTCTTGGCGTGGTTACAGGTGTTCTTGTTGTTGTTCGTAACTCTGGCGTAGGCGTTGGCCGTGCAGTTGTTGTGGTACTACGCGGCGGAATATAAGAACTTCCCGGAGTCGACGGAGTTCCAACTGTAGTAAAACGAGTAGTGCTTTGTATTGTTGAGGAAACCGGCCTTGGTGTGGTTACAGGTGTTGTAGTGGTGGTTCGTAACTTTGGGGTAGACGTCGGCCGTATTGTTGTTGTGGTACTGCGAGGTGGAATATAGGAACTTGCTGGTGTTGAGGACGGAGTAATAAATCTGAACGGAGTAGTGAGAATTGATGTTCTTCTAGTTCTTGCAGGTGTGGTTGGTGCTGGCGTAGTTCTTGGAGTCCTAGTTTTAATCTCAGGAGGAACATACGAACTTCCTGGTGTTGAAGGAAGAGTAATCGTTCGAAACGTTCTCGGAGTTGGAGGCTTAGACGTCGTAGTGCTTCGAGGCGGTATATACGAACTTGCAGGAGTTGAATTTGCAGGAGTTGTCCGTTTAGTTATCTTTTTAGGTGTAGTTAGGTCGAAGCGAGTTGTTGGAGTTGAAAATGTATATGGAGACGTTTTTATGGTTGTTGTTTTCGTAGTTCTTGCTGGTGATTTAGTAGTAGTGGGAAACGAAAAAGTTATTTTCGGTTTTGGATATGTATAGCCATAAACTTTTGTTGTAGTAGTTTTCGAAGTTGTGAATTGCCTGGTCGGGACAGTCGGTGCTCTAGAAGTCGCTGTTGTTCTTACTAAAGGTGTACTGGGAAAAGTAAACGGAATTCTCGGTGTCAAGTACCTATAGCCAGTAGTTCTAGGTGTAGTGAGCTTGAAGCTTGTTGATCGAGATGGAGTTGTCGAATATGTGTATGGAGATGTTGTTCTTGTAGTTGGTGTTGGATGTCTAGTAGTAGTAGTCGGATAAGAGAATGTTATATTTGGTTTTGGATATGTGTAACCTGTAACTTTCCTTGTAGTGGTTGGTGGACTTATCGTGGAAGTCGTAGTTGCTCTGGGAGTCGTAGACCTTGTCGTCCTTAGTGAAGGTGTATTAGGAAAGGTAAACGGAGTTCTAGGTGTAGAGTATGTATAACCAGTAGTTCTAGGAGTAGTTGACCTCACAGTTGTTGAATATGTATATGGAGGAGTTGTAATCGTTGTTGTTCTGGTTGGCGAATTAGTAGTGGTTGGATACGAAAACGTTGTTTTTGGTTTTGGATATGTATAACCTGTAACTTTCCTTGTAGTGGATGGTGGTCTTATCGTGGAAGTCGTTGTTGCTCTGGAAGTCGTTGGCCTCGACGTCCTTAGTGAAGGTGTATTAGGAAAGGTAAACGGAGTTCTAGGTGTAGAGTATGTATAACCAGTAGTTCTAGGAGTAGTTGATCTCACAGTTGTTGAATATGTATATGGAGGAGTTGTAATCGTTGTTGTTCTGGTTGGCGAATTAGTAGTGGTTGGATACGAAAACGTTGTTTTTGGTTTTGGGTATGTATAACCTGTAACTTTCTCTGTAGTTGTTTTAGGGGTTGTTGATGGTCTCGAGGTGGAGGTGGCTGTTGTTCGGGCAGTTGTAGGCCTTGTTGTCCTTAGTGAAGGTGTAGTCGGGAAGGTAAATGGAACTTTTGGCGTGGTATACCGATAGCCAGTCGTTCTGAGAGTCGTAGTTTCTGTTTGAATTATTGTAGTTATAGGTGCAGGCGTTTTATATCGAAACGTAATTCTTGGAGTGTTATATGTATATCCTGTGGGCTTCGCGGTTCTTGTCGGAGGCGGTGTAAGCCTAGAAGAACTTATAGTAGGAGTTGATGGTTGCTTCGGTCTGGGTGTCGAAATCTTGGGATACGTAAAGGGTATCCTGGGGGTTGGATATGTATATCCTGAAGGCCTTGTACTGGGTTTAAGAGATGGAGTGGTTTTCGCTGTGGCTCGTGTTGTAGTTCGCTGTGTTGGTCTAGTTTCCCTCGGCGTAGGATAAGTGAAAGTAACTTTTGGTGAAGGATATGTGTATCCGGTTTTTTGTGTTGAAGTTCTGGTAGTACTTCTTTGAGTGGTGCTAGTTGGATAAGGAAATACATCTGTCGGTTTTGTATATAGATATCCAGTACTTCTTGTAGGAGGCACCGCTGTTATGTGAAAAGGCGGTAAAGGCGGTTCTGGTTGGCCCGAAAATGGTATTGGTGGAATCGGGTAACTGTAACCATCAGCACATTCGGCTCCATTGTGCAACAAGTTGAAAATGATCAACGGTAAAGCTGTAAGATACTGAAAAAAAGGCAACCATTAGTTCCTTAGCCATAAATATCAAATTTATCGGCTTTAATTTTTTATGCTGTTGGTTATTTAAGTAATAATCCATATTATACAATTGCATTACTTTTAAGTACATAGTAGACCGTACTATCGGAGAAACATCAATTCCTTTTTTAGAAGAGGGCAACTTGTACAAGTTTTGAAGAATTAATTTGACTTAACATTATGACTAATGAATGTTTTACAGGTATTCGATTTTAGAATTTCTGCTAAAATAAATTAAAAAAAAACAGAAGTTCATTTTGTATTTATTGACAAGTATTATTATTATTGGGTTGATTTATTGGGAAGAAGAAATCAGAACGATGGGTAAAATCGCCCTAAAGAGGAAAAGCTGAAATAATTTTGTGTCTTGGGTGCGCCGTTCGAATGCACTACAGGAGCGGCTTCAAACTTGACATTTATTTCATTAGGTGCATCTTAAAATGGTACTAATCTGTGATCAGAAATGTTTGGTTCCAAACGGGTCCTGTGTAGCTTACGGATGAAATATCCCAATCATGTTTTGTTTTAAAGCCTTAAAAATATTTTTAAATGCTGATCAACGTGAGCTTCTTTGCGAAAAAGTGGTCGAAATGGGGTTGTTTTAGCGGTTTTATTCTATAGATTCTGCAAATTAAAGTGTGAAGATTTGTGGTGGACCACTAGCCATTATTGTTGAAAACTGCTTATTTTTATAACGAATTTAATTTAAGATTTTATTAGAAGAAAAGGCATGGAATTCTATTAATACGAGAACTACCTGCTACAACATGTAAACAAAATTGGGCCAATTTAGAGAATAATCACTATATCGATCTGTTGTTTTGGGGTCAAAATTTGGTTTTCCATAGTCGGTTTGATTTTCGACTATAACCTTTGTCTCAAGGAGATGATCTTGCTTTGTGATCTTGCTGTTGGTTTTACATGTTTGCTTTGGTAATTTCTATATTTTGATTATGGAGGTTATAAATTGGCATTCTATGACTTCAAGGTTGGACCTTCGTCCACATTTATGGTATTAAATGATGGTCTTAAACTTTCTAAAG